ATCGATGTATCTTTCTCGCACTTTCGCGCTTCTTTCTCGCTCGAACTGTTCTTCCATTGCGGTATTTCGCTCATACACACGTTCTTTCTTTCCTCTTCTCTCGTTTTGCCTCTCGTGTTGCCCGTGCGTCCATTTTCTTTCTTCGCTATTTACTTTTGTCCTCGTTGTTCACGCGTGTTTTTATTTGCAGTTCTTTTCTTTATTCTGTCTTTGTCTATGCTTGGTCAAAATAGGCACATAGAAAAACTTTGTTATGATCACAATTCTTATTTATCTTTATCTCATAAACACGCAAACGTTACTCGCTCTCGTTTTTTCTCACTTTGCGCGCAACTGCTAGCGAACCAACCAGCCGCGGGCCAGCAGCCGAACCAGTACGAAAGCCGGTAACCGGCACAACGCGCCATACCAAAGCAATAAGCCGATTGGTCGGTCAGCCACTATACGACCAATCGCGTGACGTTGTAGGTTATCAGGTGGTACCGCGCTCTTACAGCTACAAACACTTGCTACAGCGGAAAAGATTGGTTCCTCGTAATTTGAATAAGAACATAATTGTTTTTCAATTCATATTACAAAAGAAATTTGTAATAAAAATTCCTCATGAAAAAATCAAATAATTTTTCTTATAAATAAAATTCAAGATTTGTACGTATATATTAATTTTCTTTTCTAATTTTATTTATAATTGACAAAAAAATTCTACAAATAAATCATATTATTTCATATTAATCAATATGAAATATACAACGCTATTCAAAGAATGTCTCAAGAAAAATATATCTTTTCCTATTATTATATTGTCAAATTTCTATCGAATTATGAAATATGAATTGAATAGTGCGTTCTACTGATTTTTGCGGATTCTATCTCCTTCATCTTCGCGTCTCGCCGAAATAGGTCACGGTGCAAAGTGGAAAAGCAAGATGGGTCGACAAGGAGAAAAGCTAGCCGAGGACGAGGATCACGCGCGTTGAGTACGTGTCTTGCATCCGGCGGCACACTGTGCTTCATTCGCCATTGCCTGATTAATCCAACGTCATTTATCAGATTAAATGGATAATGTTAGTCTGACTTAACGCCATGCTCCCAAAGAGCGGGTTTCTCAAAGATTCTTTATTATTTCGTCATTTAGCTCTTATGGGCATGAGTGTTACGCAATTCAACGGCCACTGAAATTGAACACTGACAATCGATTTTGTTAACGAGTTCATTGTGTTTCTGTCCAAAATGCGATATTAAATAGGTGAGTTATGTTATATAACGCTATTAAAGAAAAATTCTAACAATCGGAGAAGAAAATTTTCAAGTCAATAATAAATTGATATGGAAAAATATGGAAATGAAAACTGATTTAAGAATATTATTGATTGAAAGAGGATAATTTAAATATTCGGAGTTTTAACTACTAATAATAAAAGATATATAGAAGAAATAGAAGGAAGAATAAAGTTTAATGTTTCGTCTTCAGGTGGGTAAAATTGAGTTTAATATTAGTAGCAAACTGAACCATGATGAACTTTCACATGTTGTATCTAAAAGGTTGGCTTAAACGATGAAATCACAGTCATCTTGCTACGAACGCACAGTTTAACCGGTAATTAGAGTTTACGGCAGCCACGTTGATTAGGTCGTTAAAGAAACTATTACGCCGACTAAATACAGTCTGGGCACTCCCACTAGTCCCCGCTGGATTGTAATTTGATGCAGCACGTTGTTCACGTGTACATTAGTATCTATTTGCAAGACTTCTTACCAACTCGGTGATTCATATCGTTAATCTTACAAATTTCCTATATAACAAAAAAAAAAAAAAATCAATCAATTGAAAGACTATAAAAAAAATTAAAAATTTAGCAATACAATAATCATATACAATCACTAACAAATAAAGAATCATTTATATACTAATTTACCGATAAAATATTATATACAATAATGGTTGATAATTTTCAGCTAAATTATAATTTTAACAAAGTTCTTCTTGCAAGTAATTTAAAAACAATAGTTTAGAAATATGGAATATAATTAGCATTTGTGCAATGAGTTTTCAATTTCAAAGACTCTTTATTTCGCCAAGGTTATAAATTTACAGTTGAACGCTTTTGGCAATTATAGCACTATTTCTTACGAATCGTAATTATTTTTAAAATAATATAATCGTCGATCATTCGCTAAAATTTCAAATATTGATTTCAAGTTGAAAATATAAGCAATTCAACAAATCAATATCGTCGCTTGGAAATGCAGCATTCCTACACATTCGAGATAAAAAAGACATGTTTTTTGTTCGGAGGACGAGTGGTTCGTCTTTTAAAAATAAAGACGAGGCACGTTTATGCACGATTCTTGAACAGAAGGAGGAAATTATTAGGTTCGCCAACGATCTGGTTGTCCGAGTAAATTGTTCGAATTACCTCAGCACCCGGCAATGGAAGGTGACCTACTGTCACGAATGATCTTTCCAAAGGATTGTGCAACTTCGAACTTCAGAATTTTTCTCCTCCCGTTTTTTTCAGTTTTTCCTTGGACGGAGGGGACCCAATTATGAAGTTTCCTTGGACGATCTCGCATTCGTCGCTCTTTAAGAAGATTGAAAATCATTTCTGATATCTTTAACATTCAACTTGCAACGTGCTCCGAGGCTATGATCGAGATAATGAAACGATTTAATGTGGAAATTTGCAAAACGATCGCCGTAATACGTACAAAGTGGAATATTATTAATTTGAACTCTGTATCGTTTATGTTTCGCTTTATTCTTTCTCCTAGGAAAAATGCTTATTCGGTGTAAGATAAAGAAAAATTGTAATAAATTATATTTGTAATTTTTTTCTAGAGAAAAAGCATTTTAAATTTAACAATATGTATTTTAAAATTTTAAGAATTTTTATATTGCTGTAGCAAAAAAATTAATTTTCTTCTCTTTAATTTCAATGTAATAAAATATTGTTATAAACACTTTTAAGTTGAAAAAGTATAAAGTTACAATTGATAGGAAGGAATTTTTATCAAACGAAAGATAACCGATATCATACATATTACTTATATTATGTGCAATATTGTATCGTCTGACCAGTATCATACACGATCTACTTAGCTAGCTTTAATAGCCTTAAAATTTACACATGTATAGAAATATAATTGTATCGTATACGTGTATCATATATTTAATTCGATTTTATCGTTAATTCTTCATCTTGCTAATAAAAATGAGATAAAAAATACAATAATGAACATCGAATTCTAAAAACAATTTAAACGTGACATCACGTGAAAGGAACAGAATGATCCAAGAAACCAATTTAAAATAGACAAAGACGCTATCTGAATTGAAAGTTACCTATAAATATATTATTTCTACGGATTTAACCAATTCAAATGGCAAATACAAAAACCGTGCACGATGGCAGTTATCGGCCAAGGTCATGGCCTTAATCGTTATTGGGTCGTCTGACCTATATATTCCGGATGCTCTCTAGGATTTAAAGTTTCAAACTACTACCATTGCGGCCGTATCGACTTCGAGGAGCACTCTAGATAAACGATACGGCAGTGCGGAGGCTGGAACAGTACGCTCTCCAACAATAGACGAATAAACGAATTCGAAACTTTCCAAATCGAATAGATTGTGCGTCACGAAGGACAAAATTGGATCGCGTTATATAGGAAAATCGTTGTTCTCATATTTGGCAAAGAGCAAACTATGTTTTGTTTGAACACAATTCTTGGATTGGGAAATAAGATGCAACGTTTCTACATTAGATTTCTATTATTCCCAGATTTCGTTTCTATATATCATAAAATAAAATAAAACATAAGAAATATAATTACTAGATGTTATAATTATATACATAGATTATTAGATATGCCTATGATTATTTTTATATAATCTATTAATAAATCGTTGAAAAAAAATAGATAAGAAACTAAATAATATAGAAAAAACAATATAGAAAAAAAATGATTAATTGATCAATTTTCAATATTAATTTCTTGCACTTTAATCAGATGTACATATTTATTTTAATAAAAGAGATTGTATAATATATAATTATAATTGGTATAATATACCAATGTAATAATTTATACACACATATTGATTATATTTTATATTACAAATTTATTATATGTAATACGATTACTGATTTCACGTTTCTCTTGAAACCCATTAACATTATTATCTCAATTTAATCGATGCAATTTCAAACCGTTTCAATCTTTATAATTCAAAGAGAATTAGAACCAGTCTTAAAATTCGTTAGAAGATCACGTCAGATTTACGACGTTGATCGAAAGGGAGTTGGACCACGAGCGATGATTCAATTCCGATAATCGATTGGCCTTCAAGACAGACGTTGATCGTTGCGGGCGACCTTCATAACAGACCTGTTCCTAGTCTCTCGTTCACAAAAGCACCGAAACACAAGCAACGCGAGATCCGTTGTTAACGTTATCTCCCTTACAGCATCGCTTGCTCGATGAAATAGTTGGTTGCGAAAAAGAAATACGTCCTCGAATCGCATCGAGGTACTTTGATCGACCAACACGTCTGAAGTGTCATGGAATATACGAGAATATTGGTCAATCGATTATTGAACATTTATTTCGGGAGTGATATTTTTCTTTTTAAAGGAGTTATGACGGAGCGTTATGATTTCGATATCGAATTTGATAACATTTTTTTTTTTTAAAATTGGAAAGTTCAAATATTCAAAAAATCGAGATTAACGAGAAATTAAAAAATCTTTAAGATTCGAAGATATAAAATCTGCAAACGAACCGACGAAATTTAGTCAAACGAGAATTTAATACGAATACGGATCCCATATCTCCTCGCGATGAAATTCGCCAGTAACATTCATTAGAAATGATTAATTTTATATGTATACGCGAAAATGGAAATGAAGTCGATATCACGTCATAGAAGACAGAAGGGTGAAAGAGAGAGGCACATCCTATTGGAATATCATGTTGGCAAAACGGCCGTCAGAAACAAGAGACCGGATTAATGCTGCTTATTAATGATATATCATTTCCTCCCTTGATGCCTTTGTTTCGCTCGCGGTCTCCCCCATTGAAACTACCTTTCACCGCTTCCGACCACATGAAAGTGATATTTCTTTTCCTATCTTATTAATTTTAATCTTATACGGATATCCAGTTACTTTTGTTGAAAATCGCAGAAAACAACATCTTTCAACGTACAATGGTTGTGGCAATTTAATGACTATCTGATCCCGTTCGACCGTGCTCGAAGGTATTCAGAGCAATATGATTGATCGTCAAAAGGCCGTTTCGACTGCCACGATTGACGATGAAATTCTAAAGGCGGCCACTACTACTACTCGTGTCAGATTCTTCCAGACATATTCCGTTTCACCGAACAATCGATGCTTTAAGATACTTGCGAATCCGATACATATACAAATATTGTTGCGTATACACGGAGTGGAGGATCTCCGGGAAGTGAATCTCTGCCCTCGTTCGAGAGGCGGAACAAGAAATTCTAGGAATTCTTGTCGACCGGAAATATTGATTTCATCGAGAACAATTCTTCTAGGAAGTTGC